CGTGATTTTTACCTACCATCGAAGACTGGTAGGTTTCTAGTCGTCTAAAAAGAAAGCAGCACATTACTCCAACATTACTCCAACATTACTCCACAGGGGGGTCTGGGCAGCCGTCGGGGAGCCGTTGGGGGCCGTTGGGGAGCCGTTGGGGGGCCGTTGGGGTTTGCCGGGGGGGATCGTTTTTCGCATACAGTCACACACTTCGTGCTTTTCGATTTCCCAGAACTCCATTCCCGGGCCACAGTCTGAATGCCCGGAGTCTGCTGCACGCCACTTCGTGCTCTTCGATTTCCCAGAACTCCATTCCCGGGCCACATTTTGGATGCCCGGAGCTAACTGTAGGCCACTTCGTGCTCTTCTACTTCCCAGAACTCCATTCCCGGGCCACATTTTGGATGCCCGGAGCCAACTGTAGGCCACTGTAGGCCACTTCGTGCTCTTCGACTTCCCAGAACTCCATTCCCGGGCCACATTTTGGATGCCCGGAGCCAACTGTAGGCCCACTTCGTGCTCTTCGAGTTCCCAGAACTCCATTCCCGGGCCACATTTTGAATGCCCCGAGCCAACTGTAGGCCACTTCGTGATCTTCGAGTTCCCAGAATTTCATTCCCTGGGCATGATTTTGAATGCCCGGAGCCAACTGTAGGCCACTTCGTGTTTCTTCGAGTTCCCAGAATTCCATTCCCGGGCACATTTTGAATGCGAGGCAGGCTGAGGCTGAGGCTGAAGCAGGCTGAGGCTGAGGCAGGCTGAGGCTGAGGCCGAGGCTGAAGGCAGACTGAGGCTGAGGCTGAAGCAGGCTGAGGCTGAGGCTGAGGCAGGCTGAGGCTGAGGCTGAGGCTGAGGCAGGCTGATGCTGAGGCAGGCTGAGGCTGAGGCTGAGGCTGATGCAGGCTGAGGCTGAGGCAGAGGCTGAGGCTGAAGGCAGACTGAGGCTTTGGCTGAAGCAGGCTGAGGCTGAGGCTGAGGCTGAGGCTGAGGCTGAGGCAGGCTGAGGCTGAGGCTGAGGCTGAGGCAGGCTGAGGCAGGCTGAGGCTGAGGCTGCAGGCTGAGGCTGAGGGCTGAGGCTGAGGCCGAGGCTGAGGCCTGAGGCTGAGGCTGAAGCAGGCTGAGGCTGAGGCTGAGGCAGGCTGATGAGGCTGAGGCTGAGCAGGCTGAGGCTGAGGCTGAGGCTGAGGCTGAGGCTGAGGCTGAGGCTGAGGCTGCAGGCTGAGGCTGAGGCTGAGGCTGCAGGCTGAGGCTGAGGCTGAGGCTGAGGCTGAGGCTGAGGCCGAGGCTGAAGGCAGACTGAGGCTGAGGCTGAAGAGGCTGAGGCTGAGGCAGGCTGAGGCTGAGGCTGCCAGGCAGGCAGGCTGAGGCTGAGCAGGCTGAGGCTGAGGCTGATGCAGGCTGAGGCTGAGGCAGGCTGAGGCTGAGGCGGAGGCTGAGGCAGAGGCTGAGGCTGAGGCTGAAGCAGGCTGAGGCTGAGGCTGAGGCAGGCTGAGGCTGAGGCTGAGGCAGGCTGAGGCTGAGGCAGGCTGAGGCTGAGGCTGAGGCTGAGGCTGAGGCAGGCAGGCTGAGGCTGAGGCTGAGGCAGGCTGAGGCTGAGGCTGAGGCTGAGGCTGAGGCTGAGGCAGGCTGAGGCTGAGGCTGAGGCAGGCTGATGCTGAGGCAGGCTGAGGCTGAGGCTGAGGCTGATGCAGGCTGAGGCTGAGGCAGGCTGAGGCTGAGGCCGAGGCTGAAGGCAGACTGAGGCTGAGGCTGAAGCAGGCTGAGGCTGAGGCTGAGGCAGGCTGAGGCTGAGGCTGAGGCAGGCTGATGCTGAGGCAGGCTGAGGCTGAGGCTGAGGCTGATGCAGGCTGAGGCTGAGGCAGGCTGAGGCTGAGGCCGAGGCTGAAGGCAGACTGAGGCTGAGGCTGAAGCAGGCTGAGGCTGAGGCTGAGGCAGGCTGAGGCTGAGGCAGGCTGAGGCTGAGGCTGAGGCAGGCTGAGGCTGAGGCTGTGACTGCGACTGCCGTTGCCACTGCGACTGTCATCGCGAATGCGACTACGACTGCGAGAACAGCAGAATTCTACAACTGGATTCTCATCCGAATCTTAAGGGGAATGCTTCCAGATATGCTCCTACACATCGATGTTAGGTTGCTTTGCCGGGATAACTTGGGTACGGGGTCCCAAGAAGTCTCGACCCGTTCCCCAGGACCGGCTTTTCATCCCGAGTCGTTTTGTTGACGGTCCCGGGGCCCTGCGAGGGCCGCGAGAGGCCGAAAATCGAGAAAAACCTCCGTCTTGACTTTTCCAATGCGTTGGAGGTCTGGGGAGGTCCTCGGCCTACTCGGGGCCGACCGCCCCGAACGCGTCCGCGGACTGATGCGGGCGGGGTGGCCCTCTCGGCGCCCGGAGCAGCCTCGCCCCCCTATCGGCGGGCGCCGCACCGTGGATGGCCACGCAGCCCCCGCGAAGGGCGAAAACCCCAGTAGGGCGCGGCCAATGCGCGCGGACGCGGGCCGCCCCGAACGGGGCAAGCCCGTCGATGTCTCCCTCCTCCAGAGGGGTGAGGGCCTCGAGATCCATCTCCGCGACCTCGACCACCAGCACGGGGGCGGTCGTCGTGCTCAGCGGGCGAGATGCCACGCCGAGCAAAGGCAAGCTGACCACCTGGAAGAGGTCAACCAGCCCTGTGAACCCTTCCGCCGCCGCCAGACTGAGACTGTCTCCGAGCGGAAGGATCCAGGCAACGCAAGCAAGATGCCCCCAGGCCGCACGGCCAGAAGGATCGCGGAGTGTCGTCCAACCGCCAGCGGTCATGCCGGGTGGCTGACAGCGGAGTGAACGGGTGGAGGTCGGGCCAGAAAGGCCCATCGGGGATGGCGGGTTTTGTTTGAGCTCAACGCCCTCAGTGCCTGAAGTGCACGAGCTGCGGCACAGCACGCTCCAGCAGGGCGACCTGCTGGACCTCGCTCAGCCCGTATTAGGCAGAGCATGATGAAAAAAAAGCGAGCACGAGGCTGCAGAAGCAGCGGCTGCCACTGCCGGCAGCGCGCGCGTGACCCGCGGGCCAGCCACAAGGGCGAGCCACGGGGCGGAGCAGCGGGCGGGCCTCTCGCGAGAGGGCCCGCGCGCGCTCCTCAGCCCGAGCTCCTGGGCCGCAGGCCGAGGCGCGCTGCGCGCCGCGACCGTGCCCGTCAGGGGCTCCGGCCACGGCCCGCGCGCGGGGGACGAGCTGCCATGGATCCGGCTCGACAGCGAGGGCGCCTTCCCCATGCCCCAAGCCCGTGCCCAGTCCCGAGCTCTGCACCGCAAGATCCAGCCCTGGAGCCCGACTGGCAGACGACGGGTGCTCACTGGTGTGGGGACAGCCACTGGAACGGTGACGGGGCCGATGCAGCAGCCCCCCGCAGAGGCTGCAGACGGCCGTGGCCCCGAGGAGGGCCACCACCTGCGAGAGCAGCACAGGGGGCAAACCCCCGCGGCTCGGGTCCGCCGCCGGCCCCAGGCAGACGGTGGGGCGGGCGGTGCCAAGCGGCAGGGGGGCAGTGCCCTCCGCCGCTCGGGTCGGCCTGAGCGGGCCACGGAGTCCCCGCGGAAGGGGCGCCGAGGTCTGCGAGCGATGGGAGAGGCTGAGCAACGCAACGAGCCGCTTGCAGAGCGCGGCTCGTGGGCCTCGGAAGAGCAGCTCGCCCGCCCCCTCGATGGCTGCCTGAGCGAGCACCTGCAGAGAGCGCCCGCCGAGGGAAGGCCTCGCGAGGGATTGGGAGAAAACAGTTGCGACGCCCGCGAGGCGCAATGCGAGAGGATAACAAAACGAGCACGCTGCTGCTAATGATGATGGTACTAATGGTATTGATAATGCTGATGCTGATGCTGATGCTGATGCTGATGCTGATGCTGATGATGATGCTGATGATGATGATGATGATGATGATGATGATGATGATGCTGATGATGATGATGATGATGATGACGACAATGAGAATGGTACTGATAAGGCCCATGATATGTCATGACAATGCGAATGACACAGATATCACTAATGGTAGTGATACTGGTAATGATAATGCGAATGATAATAACAATGATAATGCTACATATGATGATAATGGTACTGATCATGACAATGATATGAACATTGATACTGATAATGATGATGATGATGATGATGATGATGACAACGATGAGGACGACGACGACGATGAAGACGACGATGGTGACGCAGACGATGATGATGATGCTGATGATGATGATAATGATGATGATGATGATGATGATGATGATGATGATGATCGCACTCCCCTGAGCGCGCCAGAGAGTCGGGCAGTTCAGCTGCCCCCTGCCGCGGGCCTCCTGATGAGCATGCTCCGCACGACACGCCCCTTCTTGGCGATGTGGCGGGCACGCGCGCGCAGGAGAGGCAGCAAGCAATCGGGCCCGTACCTGTGCGAGCTCCTCAAGGTGTTAAATGTGGCAAAAAGCAGGTCGTGGACGAGAAACATAGAGAACAACTGCTGACTAGAATGGCATGGTATGGTGCACAGCATGCGCGCATCAAGGCTCTGATTCAAATACTCGACTGGCAGGAAGGGCAGAACAGAGTGAAGCAGGCTCAGGACATGAGGGCAGTCGAAATAATGCTGGACGTGGTCGCCGCCTGTGGCTCGGCAACCGAAACGGCAGGTAAGACGGCCTTGCCTATACCTGGCAGAGGTCGCCCACGCGTTGCAGATGGTTTTAAGAATGGCAGCAGCCACAAAAGGGCCGACGCGCGTGCAGGCTAGCCTGAGCCTGAGCACCGCAAGGTCGATACTAGAGTCACTAACCAGAGGAAAAGCGAACCGAATTCGATTGCCCAGGGTGATGATGATGATGATGATGATGATGATGATGATGATGATGATGATGATGATGATGATGATGATGATGATGATGATGATGATGATGGAGCTGATGATACTCACGAAGAACCTCTCCGCGCTCGCCGGGTGTGCCGCTCTCCTGGGCGCCCCTCCCGCAGGCCGGACAGGCCTCCACCACTTGCGCCATCGTTCTCGGGGGCGCCGGCTCGCCTCGCGGCTCGCGAGGGGGGAGGGCACCAGCGGCCGGAAGCAAGCGACCAGGCCGCTCGCGCCTGCGCATCGCCGTGCAACGCAGGGACTGCAGACCAGACGACCCGCAAGACCAGGCCACCTCGCTCATTCCCAGCAGGGCCCGCGCATCACCGCGCTGTCCACGCCTCATCGTCAAGCCCCACCTCGCCACAAGCTGGGGTGACTGGGGAACCAGGGCTGCACGGCGTTTGCGCAACCGCATGAGTTCGTGTCATATCCGCCACCGTGCCCCGAGTCGCGAAGTGTGGTGTCCTCAGGCCACTTAGAGTCATCTGTATTGGAATAGTGAATACTCCTTTAGGGCCAGCGGCCCCGAGTTCCAGGCGATCCTGGGCGCTTCTGGACGCTCCTGGGATTTATCGTGCGTCACTGCCCGACTTTTCCTGAACCAAGGGGGCCCAAAAACTGGCTAAGGGGGCCCCTAAACGGGCCCCAAAATGGACTCAGCGGGCTCCGAGTCGCCCAAAGATCACCCCCCCCATGCCCCCAAGATGGCTTCCAGACGGCCCAAGTCGCCCCCACGACGCGAACAGAGAGACCCAAGGCAAAAAACACTGGCTTCCCATAGTTTCTCAAATGATTCCAGCGTTCTCACCGTCTCAAGCTCCCGAGGCCCGAAGACGGCCCCAGCGGTCCCCAACAGGGCCCCCCGGCGGCCCAAGAGGGGCCCATGCGGGCCCCAAGACGTCCCAAGACGGCTCCAAGAGGGGGAACTCGAACTGACATGTCGCGCCCTCCGCCGAACGATGAACCCCGAGACCGCCAGCAGGTCCCCAATGGGGACCCCAGAGGACCCCGGAGCCCCCCCCCCACGCCCCCCGGACACTCCTAAAACGGCATCCCAGAGGCTTCCGAGAGGCCTCTCGAGAAGTCTCCACCAAAATCCAAGAGGCCTCTGACTTGCCACCTATGCGCGGTGGCGGGACCGGCCGATGGCCAGCAAGTCCGCCGCCGCCTGTGGCTTGCCGCAGTGGTGTACGGCGTCCTGGATCCTTCTCAATGGTTCCCAGTGGGCCTTCGGCTCAACCCGGCGGCCGCTCTCCATTGGCCTCCCCCCCTAGGATGGCCCAAAGATGGCTAAGATGACCTCCAAGACGGCCCCTATGGCCCCAAGAGGGCCGAAGATGGCCCCAACATGTCTTCAAGACAAGACGAGATGACCATAAGATGGCCCAAGACAGCCTCAAGATGGACCAAGACGGTCCAAGAGGCCCTGAAAAGCCCCCAAGACGGCCAAAGAGGCCCCCAAGACGGCCAAAGATGGCCAAGACGGCCAAAGAGGCCCTGAAAAGCCCCCAAGATCGCCCAAGCGGCCTCCAAGATGGCCCGATGAAGGCCCAAGAGGCCCCCAAGACGGCCTCAATTGGGCTCAATACGGCTTAAGAGGACTCCAAGTGTTCATCCTGGAAGGCCCGAAGAGCTCAAATCATTGATTGCCCTTGGTTGTTGAAAGATGCTGGAACTTTCTTATGGTCGGCCCTCCGACGGCCCAAGAAGTCCCCAAGATCGCCCAAAAGGCCTTCAAGATGGCCCCATGACGGCCCAAGAGGCCCCCAAGACGGCCCCAAGAGGGCCTATGAGGCCTCAAAGACGCCAAGATAGCTTCCAAGACGGCCCTGAGGCGCCCCCAAGAGGGCTCCAAGTCGATTCAGCGAGACCTCCAAGACGGCTTCCAACGGCGTCAGACTGACCAGGAACGCCCGAACACGTTCAAAGAGGCCCCCCCAAAAAGCCCCCAAAGGCCCCCAAGAGGCCCAAGGAGGCCACCAAGAGGCTTCCGAGAGGCTCCAAGGAAGCTCCCAGGAGACCCCAAGAGTGCCCCAAGAGGTTCTCTCCTCCTCCTCCTCTTCCTTCTCCTCCTCCTCGCCTGATAGCTTTGCCAAGCTATCGCCAAACATTTGACCATTGAGCCGCTTCCCAAAAAGGTCGGGGGCGGCGGTGACTCGCCATAGGCTTCGATCCGCCGCCCCTTGTTGGCTTGCCACAGGAGCGTACGGCGTGCCAAACGTTAGGTATTGTTACGCTCCGCGAATCCCCGCCAGCCCACTCAGAAGCCCTGCCCACGAGAGCTCACGGGAAATGGAAAGCAGAGACACATATAATGAAACAGAGCGGTCAAAGAGAGGAGGGGGAGGAACGTGTTGAGCCATCTTGGAGGCTATCTTGGAGCATCGGATGCCTTGTTGGAGCTATGGGACTTTTGGGGGGCGTCTTGGGGTCCTCTTGGGGCTCTCGTGGGGCATCTTGTGGCCCTCTTGGGGCTCTTTGGGGGGTCCAGGGGTCCTCTTGGGGCTCTTTTGGGGCGTCTTGGGGCCCTCTTGGGGCCCCTTCTTGGGGCCCTCCTGGGCTCTCTCGGGGCCTCTTGGGAGCCCCGGAGGGCATCTTAGGGCTGTCGTGGAGGGTGTCGGTGAAAAGAGGGGGGGGGGGGTCCGAACGTTTCCCCCCCCCCCCCCCCCCCCTCTAGGGCCATCAAAGTAGCGTCTTGGGACGCTCTTGGGCCTCTCTTAAGGCGCTCTTGGGCGGTCTTGGGGCCGTCTTGGGGGCATCTCGGGCCTCTCTTGGGGCGTTTTTGGGCCATCTTGGGGCCACCTTGACGCCTGAACAACACATCGGAAGCGAAAAGGCGAGAAGGCCAAAATCATTAAATTGTGGCGTTTCTCGGTAAGGTCCTGAGGGGTTTCCAGAAGCACCTCCAAAAGCACTTGGATCCGTCTTGTGGCCTTCTTGGGACCTCTTGGAAGCATGTTCTCTCTGAGGCCCTCTTGGATGCCCTGACCGCTCGCGACCCCCCCTGTCCAAGTCCAGGGGAAGGGGTAGGGGGAGGGGTAAAGCTACCCCCTCCCCGCCCGCAAGCCGTCTCGCTCACTCCCACCCGCCCAACACATACGTAGCACCCGAGTCTGGCCCGAGCCTGAGCATATTCAGCAGTCGCCTTTGGATGGGTAGCTACTGGGGGCCAATCCGCTGCCGCCACCGCCGCCTCCGCCGCCGCCGCCGCCGCCGCCGCAGCCGCTGCCGCTACCGCCACCGCCGCCGCCGCCACCGCCACCGCCGCCGCCGCCGCCGCCGCCGCCGCCGCCGCCGCCGCCGCCGCCGCAGCCGCCGCAGCCGCCGCCGCCGCCGCCGCAGCCGCCGCCGCAGCCGCCGCCGCCTCCCAAGTGTACTCTGTATTGTTTTTGACAGGGATGGTGCGGTGGGGGGGGGGGGGGGCGCATCGGGTTGGCTGCGCATGTTCCGAATTTGGAGGCAGAGTGTGTTTTGTATTGTTTTTTACAAGGGATTGCGGGGGGGGCGTCGGCATGGACCTGGTTGGCCCCCAGTCGCCTGGGGGAGGGGGTGTTTATTAATAGGGAACAGTGATACACACGAGAGAGCGTGATCCACCGCCGCTTTACTGTGGAAAATTGCCAACCTTTTCCTCCGGAGCCCGGGGGTCTCCCCCCCCCCTCCGAAAATCCCCCCCCCCCTGCTGGAACCCCCCCCCACCCCCACCCCTCCCCCGGCAAAACCCCCCCCTCCCCTAACCCCTCCCCCCCCCCCACCCTCCCCCCTCCCCTCGAAAAACCGGGGGGGGGTCACTACCGGTTCGAACCCTCCCCCCCCCCCCCCCCCCTCCGGATCCGGGAAACCGAGGGGGTCACTAGGGGTTGGAACCCCCCCCCCCCCCCCTCGAAAACCGGAGGGGGGTCACTACCGGTTCGACCCCCCCCCCCCACGCACCGCCAGCAAACGACTCCCGGTCCCTACCACCGCTCGCATGACATCCCCCACTGTTGTTCCCAGCACCACTGTCCTCACCACCACTGCCCCCGCTGGTTCCACCACCGTCCCTATTGTCCCCACCAGTGCCCCCACCACTGTCGCACTGTCCCCACTGTTCCCACAACTGTTCCCACCACGGTTCCACTCTCCCCACTGTCTCCACGGACCCAACCACTGCCTATCCCCACTGTCCCCACTGTCCCACTGACTCCTCCGCTGTCCCACTGAGCTGTCCCACTGTTGCCCACCACTGTCCCCACTGTCCCCACCACTGTCCCCACTGTACCTCTGTCCCATTGTCCCACCGCCGTCCTCGCCGACGCCTTTACCAGTGTCCCCACCACCATTGTACCCTCCACTGTCCCAGTGTTTCCACCTCTTCCCACTGTCCCCACACCACTGTCCCCACCACCACCGTTCCCACCACTGTCCACTGTCCCCCCTGTTCCCACCATTGTCCCCACCACTGTCCCCACCACTACCCTCCCCACCGCTGTCCCACTGTCCCCCCGCTGTCCCCACCACTGTCCCGCTGTCCCCTCACCACTGTCCCCACCAACACCGTCCCCACCACTGTCCGCACCCCCACTCGGTTTTCGAGGGGGGGGGGGGTTCGAACCGGTAGTGACCCCCCCCCCCTTTTCATGATGAGCTGGGGGGGGGGGGGGAGGGGTTCGAACCGGTAGTGACCCCCCCCGGTTTTCCGGAGGGGGGGGGGGGGGAGGGGTTCGAACCGGTAGTGACCCCCCCCGGTTTTCCGCCAGCAGCGGTAGAACACGCTCTTTCAGTGATAAAGCTACCCACCCGCCCGCAAGCCGTCTAGCTCACTCCCACTCGCCCTCCCAACACATCAGTAACACCTGAGCCTGAGCATGTTCAGCGGTCGTCTTTAGATGGACAGCTACTGGGAACCAAAGAGGAAGAGGATCTTTTGGAAGAGACCCCCGAGGGGGAAGAGGGGTCCTCTTGGAAGAGGAGAGAAAGATCTCGCTAGACCGCCTGTCGCCCAGAGGGCTGGCGGGATTCCTGGTCTTCCTCAAGGGTGCCCAGTGGGCCTTCGGCCGATCGCGCTGGCCCTGCAGATCAACGGCTTCCCTTCGTCGTTCCACCCCTCAAGGACCCATACTAACTTCCCCCGCCGTCGGTCTTCCCGCGGGGGCGCGCAGGCATGGACTAGCCATCCATGGATTCGGCGC